AATGGAAGATGCTGAGGGCGGTGAAGTTGGTACTTAGAATCAAGAAAGTGCGGAAGAGGATGAAGAAAATGAAGAAGGCAATGATGACCATGAGCCTCATAGATCCTATGACGAGGTGATGCGCAAACTTGAGGAAATGCACGTCCACCATCATGAAGACATGGTATTAGCAAATGAACGAATTAACAATCTTGCTGGAATAGTCAACCTTCAAAACATTCAGTTTAAGGATTATGCTAGCCTCCAAGACCGCCGATATAACACTCTTCATGGAATGATAGAAACTCAAAACACAAACTTGGCAAACTTTCAGTCGGCTTTCATAGCTCGCTTTCCACCAAACTAACCTGTTGAACCACCACAAGAGAATGAGGAACAACAACATTAGTTAATGCTTGGCACTTTATTTCTTGCTTGTTATGCTTGTATTACTATGGTTTTGTATTAAATTGTTTTACTTCCCGTACTACTTTGTGTTTTATTTTGGGTTTGTAACAATGAACATCGTATGGTATTACTTTATTGGTTATTGCATCTATTTTCGTTTGCACTTTCTTCATGTTGTGTGTATGTTAGTTTGTGTTCTTTTTGCAAAGTTGCAAAATATTGGTCATTCTATTTTTTTTTTGTTCTCTTAATCCATGTCCTTGTTTCTTTTTGATGTTATCAAAGGGGGAGAAGGAATACACAATAGAAATATGCAATATCTCAAGGGGAGGATGATTGGATGATTCGTAACCATTGAGACAATTCATATTTGCAGTTTTTGCCATCATCAAAAAGGGGGAGTATGTGAGGAAAAAGGTGAAAGAACTGAGTTTTAATGCTTGTCAAAAACCTATCTATGCAAATATGTCATGCTTCAAACAGGTGCAAGTGAGAAACATCAAAAACAAGCATTTTTCTCAAAACAGACTGCATGAGCCGGCTCATGGAACCTTAGGTCGGCTCATGAGAAGAAGATTTTGGTTTGGAAACGTTCGATAAGGTGCACGCCTTCTCTATGCATCGACGCATTGTTTTGGGAAAACATGAGTCAGCGCATCAGGCAATGAGTCGGCGCATGACTGAAGGAATTTCAACCTCTCTCACTCAGGAAAGCGCACGCCTTCTGTACACCCTGCATGAGTCGATGCATCGCTAAATTGTCTCATTTTTTCTGCTATGTTGTTACATCATGGGAATCACTTATATATATTGTTTGGCCTCTATTTCTAAAAAAAAACAAACAAAAACAAGAAAAAGTGAAAGATAGACACAAGAGCTCTCTTCATCTTCAACCTCTCATCAACCATCAACAACTACACACAATCATTTTTGTTGATCAAGTTCTTGGGTTTGTGTTGATAACGTCCGAATTGAAAGTGCAATTTCAGATTTGGGTAGAGATCTTTATGGATTTTTTCTTGAATAAAACCATTGGGGTTTTGTCCTCCAAAATTAGGGGTTTTCATCACAAGTCTTTGCTTCATTGAATTCAGCCGAGCTAAGGGATTGGAAGACCGTGGGATGTTCAATCGGGTAGCAGTAACCAGAGGATTGTGAAGAAGGATTTGGGGCCAATTTATAGGGCTCAAAATCATTCAAGGTAGAAGGAGATTTTGTTCAAGATTTGGCATACTCAATTCATATAGAATCAAGGGAAGAGGAGTGCAACATATAAGATTCATCAAGTGACTTTGAATTGTGGTGATTGTATCTTCTCTTACAAACTTTGCAAAATTAATTTCATAATCCTAATTCTAGATTCTAGAATTGGGGGTAGAGTAGCCCACGCGAGGACGACAAGGTAAACTGCCTTAACAAATATTATGTCCATTTTAGTTTTCTGCATTTTATTTCTATTTGCTTGAATTTGTGAGTTATCAATTTTTCCCATTCATACAAAATAATTATAGTGACAAACTAAAATTTACAACTCATATAGCATTCATTTGAATCGCTATAATCACTACAATTTGAGTATAACCAAACCTTGTGTAGTACGTACACCAAGTGTTTGGTGAATTCATAACTCTCAAATTTGCTTTATCTTCTTTGTAACTAATTGATAATAACTTACACCTTGTTAAAACTTGCTAAAGCGACTAATCATCTTCAATTTTAATTGTGATTCTATTCTCATCATTTTCATCAAATTGGTTCGCATATCCGATCTTTCCAATACGTAAAGTTTAGATGATCAGATTCAGGACTGTCGCTCTCTGATAAAAACAATTTTATAAAAAGCGCAAAATTTTCAAAGGGATCTATTCAACCCCCCCCCCCCTTCTAGATTCGTCACATCGTCTAACACCAGTTGCTTTTTGAAGCACCAAGAAATAGGACTTCCCAGATACAAACAAAAATATCCAAGAGTATTTCTTCTGTCAACTTTGTCTTCATACCAATCAGAGTTTGGATAGCATATCAGCTCATATCTGATCTAACACTAGAAGGGAATAACAATTCATACCTCATAGTCCCTTCAGTATCTTGCAGCTTGTCAAACTCTACAAATCTCCTTGGTATATTTCTAACTCTATGTGGCCTCTGAACTAGTTCATAATCTCCTTCTGATTCTGGAAGAATATCTCCTTCTGGATTTTCTTCAAAAGTTTGACTACCACTAGAAGCTCCACCTTTGTTAGACCTTCAGAAATACCATCTTCAAAAATTGGATCATCTTCAGAAGCCTTGCCTTCAGAAGTTCCACTTTCAGAATCATGATCACCGTCAAAGGCTAGATTACCTTTAGAAGCCCCTCCTTCAGAATATCCACTTTCAGAGACATGATTTCCACCAGAAACATGATCATCTTCAGAATTTTTTCCTCTAGAACCTATATCTTCAGAGTTTTCCATTCTAGAAGCATGACCACCGCCAAATTCAAAATCTAGATCAGAATCAGATTCACCATCTGACTCATCTTTAGTGTCTCCAGAAGATTCTTCATCTTTTGACTCTAGCTCTTCTTTAGAACATTCAAGTTCTGACTCAACTTTAGAAACCTCAGATTCCGACTCATATTCAGAATCTTCAATGTCATCTTCTAATTCCGACTCATATTCAAACACTCCTTCAGAGTCAGAATATTCAGAATCATCTTCTTCTCCTTCAGAATCAGAAAATTACAATCTCACATGTTCCTCATCAGATTCATAATAGCATAAGTTCATCATCTGAATCTCCTTTGGCTATTTTGCTTCTTCTTACTTCCTTTCTTTGTTTGACCAGCAATCTTTGACATAGTGACCAAAGTTCTTGCAACAGTAACACCGAACGTTCTTCTTGCCAGACTTCTTCTTTCCCTTCTGGATATTCTTCTGTCTATCAGAGGTTGAGGCTTCTGACCTCTGACCATCATTAGTTTTCTTTCTGGCTTCTGACCAAGTCTGCTTCTGATACTTCTTACCAGAAGTTGCTTTCAGAGTCTGCTGCTCTACTTCTCTCTCAGAAGTTCTCTCAATCATACGCAAGTCACACGCTTCTAGACTACTTTGCAGCTCTTCAACTCTCATGGTGCTCAAATATTTGGAATGTTCAATTGCTACCATAATATAATCAAACTGAGAAGTTAAAGATCTCAATACCTTCTCTATGATTATTTGTTCAGAAATGGTTTCTCCACAAGCTTTTATCACATTAGTGATCAGAATCACTCTAGAGATGTACTCAGAAACCTTCTCGTTGTCCTTCATGTTGAGATTATCATATTGCTTTCTTAGGGACTGAAGTTTCACCTTCTTCACTGATGCATCACCACCGTAACATCTGACCAGTATGTCCCACGCAACCTTTATTGTTTCAGAGTCAGGAATCTTCTCAAACACATTCGCATCCACACACTGATGGATGTAGAACAATACTTTCTGATCTTTCTTCCTTATCGCCTTATGCGTTAACTTTTGTGCCTTTGTCGCGTTTGCTGCTAATGAAGCATAGTCATCGGTGACAAGATCTAACACATCTTGAGAATCAAACAACACACACATTTGGATCTTCCAATCATTTCAGTTTTTGCCATCAAACACTGGAAGCTTGGAAGTGATATCGTCGTTTTTGTTCATCTTCAATCTTGTGCAGTTCACTCAAAAACTCACTAACATACAGTGTTTCACAAATTCCACAGAATCAGAAAAAATGTGATTCTCAATCACACAACACCTCACTGTTCACTTGTGTTTCCCGTGTTTCCCTGTGGATTTCGAACCGGAGCTCTAGATACCAATTGTTGGTGCATAAAAGAGAGATGAAAGACAAAAGGAATATTAAATGATGGCTACAAAATAAGGAGTAATAAATACATTGACCTACCTACTACTAGGCTATTTATACACAATATTAGAGTATAATAAAATACTAAAATACCCTCTAACAAACTTAGTCAACAAAAGACATTTCTAAAATATAAATTACTTCCAACAATAATCTCTAAAGTTACATAATCTTAGTTAAACTTATGCCTCAATTTGCATAAGGTATATTACAGTAAACCTAATTAACATTGTATAATTTTAAAATGATTCAAATAGTTTTTTAGTCGTAGTAAGTTGACGTATTTTTAGTTTTTATCTCTGTATTTTTTTTTTGTTGTGAAAATGATCCTTAAATGTTAATTTTTTTTTTTTTTTTTAAGGATAAAAACTAAATGAAATTCAATATTTAAAGATTTTATCTAAGAAAAACAGATATCATAATAAAAATAAAAAACATGTCAATTTAAATAGATTAAAAGACTATTTAAGCCAAAACATAGAAGATACAATTACAAAGATTAAGTTTAAGTTGAATATTAACTTATTCTCAAAGTCTCAGTGTGACCTACTTCAAAGAGGCGGGGGCAAAAATGTAATATTTCACTTTCACACTCTAATGTCCACATATTTTATTCTTGTTTTCCACTAATCTCACACTATAAATTGAGAGCAAACTCAATCCAAAATGCAACAATACAGAGCAGTTTATCATACTCTCAATCCTGCACTTATCATCATTACTCTTCCTACATTGAAGAAAATATGAAAGCAGCACAAATTGTTATTTGCACCTTCCTTTTGGTGCTTCTGGTTAATGTTCAAGTGTCAATGGCAGTAACATGCAGTCCAGTGCAACTTAGCTCATGTGTGAGTGCAATCACTTCTTCAACTCCTCCATCTAAACTATGCTGCTCCAAGATAAAGGAGCAAAGACCTTGCCTTTGCCAATACCTCAAGAATCCCAATCTTAGGAAGTTTGTTAACACTCCTAATGCAAGGAAAGTTGCTAACACTTGTGGTACTCCCTTCCCAAGGTGCTAAATGTTTAAAAAAAACAGTTGAGACTATAAAATAATATCATATTTTGTGTGGTTTGATGTCTATATGTTTTAAACTGTGGTGGTAAAAGCCACTTGACACGGATACGTCAGATTGAATGTTTTGTGTCGACACGACACCGACATTCAACTACTTCCGTTTTCTTATATTATTATTAATGTCTGTGTTAGTGTTTGGGTGTGTTTACATGTTTTATAAGTAAAAGTATAAGTTTTATTGAATGTGATGCTTTACTTTCCTGTCATTCCCTTCAGCTCTTTGGGGGGGTCTCATATCACATTAGTTGTTGCAAAAATATGTATTTATAATTCAAAGAAATATTATTAGATTATGCTTACTTCTCTTTGTCTCTGTTTATTACAGCTCTAGTTAAGGTTAGACTTTGGCATGAACTTGTTTGGGAACTTCACTTATGAGAAGAAGAGCATTTGATAAAAAATAAATGAAATATTTTAAGGATTTAATTTATATGCAGTGACACTGAAAAATTATTTTACACTGTCATCCAATAGGAAGCTAACAATATGCCTTGTTATTAAAAGAATTTTAAAATTAAAGTGTAATTTATTCTGATATAAGGTTATGATTGATTGACAGTGTAAAATTAATTTATATGCTATCACCTCTTTTCTCATATTTTAGTACTGATTAATGACATAAAATTGATATCCATATCATATTTACAATCTACTGTCAAAGGCCAGCATACAGAAATGGATCACTGTCATAGATAAAAATATCAAAATGAAGCTAACAAAACAAAACTTTTAATCAAAGCAAAATTGAAACTATGCCGTTAAATGAAATATCAAATAATTCCATCCAAGCCAGAAAAGATTCAGTTGATCACATTCAAATCTCCAATTCATTTGTCATAGAAAAAAACATGTACACCGTCTCCATAACACAAATAGTTCAAATTGGCAAACTACTGTTCGGAAAAAATTCTTTTATAAATGAGAATCCAGTGAAATGAATTGGTTTATTGGAACTAACTTTGGTCCCAAAACAATAATATTTTCGAATTCGAACAGGCACCAGAATTAATTTCCATATACAACATTTAAATGGCACTTCTGATTTACAAATTAAGTAAGTTTGTCAAATGGTTCCAGCCCATTAACCACGGCCTCTTGTCGGAAGGAAGCACAAAATTCAGCTCAAACATTTCCTTAGACATGTTACCTCCTGTGCAGAAACCAACCAGCTTTGCAACAATTTCAGCACTTTCTTCTACATGTCTTTGATCATGAGGATCTGTCCATAGCTTGTTGATAAATTGCATCTTTCTCTGCTTCCCTTCAAGAGGGACATCCCATTTCATGTATAGTGTCTCCCTCTCTTCTGGCATCAAACGTGATATCAATCTCTTGGCGAGAAATTCTCGTTCTCTTTTCAATGCTCTCATACTGCAATATCATACAATATAAAGTCAATGAAAAATTCTCATTTATATAAATCACCTAGCTGTGTTAGAGTGTTAAGTGTTTTAACTATTCAGAGAGAGAGAGGAGGAACCTTGATGAGAGTGAGATAGTTGGTTCATCGCCTCCAACATTAGGAGCTGGACTTGCATTCCCAAGTTCAGCTAGGTGTTGTTGCAACCAAGTCAAACGCCTTAGTTCAACTTCTACATATATTTGATCAGCTGGATCTCCCTTGAATAGCAAATAGAACTGGGTCCTGTGAATAATGGAGACATAACATGCATCCCATAATTCAAGGATCAGCTTCCGTTGTTCTTTAAATGTTACTTGCCACAAAACTTGAGGTTCCTCTGGTTCACCCATGTCCATTTCATCTTCTATGTTCTGGCCACTAGCTTCATTTGCCTCAAGCTCAAGTACCTAATGCATTAAAATATTAGGACACGAGAGAAAAGCTAATGGAAACACAACATCAAAATATAAGGACACGAGAGAAAAGCTAATGGAAACACAAGAAATGGAGAATTAAAGGAAGATTTGCAAATATAATCATCTACCTGGCAAACAAGTAACTGCTTTTGGTACTGCAGCTTGGCCACGCGTTCTTTCAATTCTGTCACATATGCTCTTATACTTCTTACATTCTCCTCTGCTGCATTTTGAAACATTTTCTGCATTTTCTTCATGTTAACTGAACTAGAGCGACGGTAACCTGGAGTATTTTCCTTTGATGTAACGTCTCCTGCTTCCTCATTTTTGGAGGGAGTATCCTTCTCGGAGTCGGGATGAATTCCTGTTGAATTGTTGTCATCATTCTCAGGGGCTTTATTTTCAATATCGGATTCCAAAACTTGTTGAGTAGTAGATAATGGTGAGCAGGGAGATCTAATAAAGTTCGGGCGATTAGCAGAGTTACTTGAACATAAAGGAAGCAGCTTTTTCCTTTTATGTTCCTTTTTATGGTTGGGGGATGCTTCATTGGTTACTAAAGTTTGAAAATTGTTAGGAAGAGACATGACCAACTTGTCTATAGACTTTTGCACATTCTCAAGCTGCTGCTCAAGATTTGCAATGGTGCTTCCTTGTGAATGAAGACGGGTAATCTCTTCCTTTAGATTAGCACTAACACTTTTATTGACAGAAACCATGCTTCCAACTACAACTGCTTTAGGTGCTACTGGCTTAACAGAACGCATTTCCCTTATTTCTGATTGCAGCTTTGCAATTGTCTCAGCTGCATCTTGGTTACCTAACCTATGACATGCCACTTCTTTTTGTAATACTTCCAAAGCTCTGTTGGCTTCTTCGCCTAGCTGCTCCTGGAGGTGCTCAAGTTTGCGAATTTCATGCATAAGGGCAAAAGGAGCAGTGGATGATTGCCTCATGGACTGTCTTAATGACGTGTTTCTCACTCTCTCACACCCTAGCCCTGATTTTGGTGATGATAATGCACCAGTGAAAGATAGACACTTCTTCACTGAAGAATGTGCTGGTTCAAGTGGCTTTGAAACCTGAAGTTATAAAAAATTGTCTTAAAGTCAGTTGACATAAATTAAAAAATCTGTGCGTGTGGCTGGGGGAGAGAGAAAGATGCAGACAGATGGAGACCTGCTGGTCTTCTTGAAGCTTTCTTCGTAACTCGTTGACTTGAGTTTGTGCTTGATCTCTTTGACGTTTCAGCTCTTCAATTTCCATTTCCATCTGGAAAAATAGGCAAACAATATCAGTACTATGGTATTATTATTCTTGTTCCTAACAATCATTTCTATTTTCCAATTTACCTGTTGAATTTTCCAATCCTTTTCTTTAGATGGATCAGGAGTGCGAAGCACAGCTTCCAGCCTCGCCACTTCCTTTTGCAAATGTTTAACAAGCTGCTTTTCTGGTACCACCTATACAAAGCATTTGAAAAAAATGATAAGCTTTGTTCTAGTAGTAAAAGGAGAAATATTGAAAGAAAAAACAAAAAGCGTCAAGGGGACTATGACTTCTCGGCAATTACCATGTTTACTTGAGCATTATTTGTAACTTCTTTAGCCCGAGTAGCAAAGTAGAGGGTATTTCGCGATTGCTCTACATGGGTTAATGCTGGACTCAAGGTACATATAATGGCCGTGCGTGCATTTCCACCAAGGGAATGTTGCAAAATACGCGTGAGCTTTGAATCTCTATAAGGTATATGACCACTTTTTTTCCCCACACTGCAGATGATTATATAAAAAGAGAAAATCAGAAGAAAAAGAAGAAATCTCAGGAGGTAATTAGTTCGAATGACACTACAAAGTAATAACACGGTAACAAGTTAATAAATTTCCTGAAAACAACACTGACTCTGACCTGAGCTTCCTGATAACAGTTGTTAGGGTCATAAGGCTAAGATTAATATGGCAGCCTTCTTTGAGCCTCGTGCCATCTGCATGTGTCTGTGCAGCCCTCTCACTTCCAGCCAGATCAACAAAGTTCTGCATCATTGACACAGACTAGTCAGTCAATGAGAACTATTGTAACCATTTTAAAATAGATGAAAACAAACCGCAATTACCAGGGTCGCAACAAAAGATTTCACACAATCTGCTTCTTCACGAAGAGTGCTTTGAATTGTCTGCAATATACATCAAAAGGGAGAAAAGAAATGTTTACATGTTAGCAATGAGTTCAAATGAAGAATAGGATCCTCTTATGTTAGCAATATACAGCAAGGAATTTCACTGTCACTTACCAGTCTTATTATCTGGTGAGACCTCGAGCTGTTATCATTCAGAGCAGTTTCGCCCACCTGTCTTTGAGCTACCAAACAAATAAACTTGGTATTTTAATTTGTTTGAATAAGGAAACATGAATAACTCATGGCAAGCCTAAGAGAGTATCCTACCTTCACAAATGGAAATCAAATGTCTCAAGTGTTTGTCATCCTTTGCCGTTTCTTCCACCAATTTCTCAACCACAGTACCTTTCTACATTACACAAAGGATATTAAAATAAATAATACCAAATTTAGGACAAGGAAGCTACTGAAATGCATGTTTGTTAAATTGAAAATGAAAAATGTTTACCTCGGGATCATCTAAAAGCTTCAAACTTCGACCGGGTTCTGAATTTAACAAGTCCCGTACATTCTCATTGTATATTTCTAGTCCAGATATTTTTATAGTGAAATTTCTTTCAGGATTCTGTAATCATGGAAATTGAAAAACATAAGCCTTAAATTAACAACCTATGGAATCCTATCCAATCTTTTAATATAGAAATTACAATTGGACTGAAAAAAAATTTCAAAAGAATTTAGCAAACTTGCCTTCATTATATGGTTATAAATGTCATTGACCGCCTTCTCTGTGATTCCTCTCATTGTGTATGTCTTTCCACTACTAGTTTGTCCATAAGCAAAGACAGTAGCTACAACAAAATTAGCATGCAGTGTGAGTGTGAGTCTCTATCAAAGACACAAATCACAAATGAGGTCAAGATACAATGATAATGAAACAGATATCTAATGTCTAATACAATACCATTGATCCCCATCAGTGCAGACAATGCGACATTCTTTACTCCTTCTTCGTACACTGCCTCGGTAATAGAAGCCGGACCAAAAACTTTGTCTGCAATGAGAAACCAATGTCATCAAACACTTAACCTCCTAGGTGACATAAGTTAAAAATTATATACAAAACTCGGCTGAATAAATAATGTAAATACCAAAAGTAAAGGATGCCGGCTGAGTAGCACGTTCATGTTGCGGCGGTTTATACACAATAGTATAATCATCAATGCAATCCCATGCCACCTGGTCTTTAGCCAATTGTTCCCTTCTGTTTAAAGGCCTTAACCTTACCGTAACCACAATCTTATCCTCCCGAGCTCTCGGCCCTCCAGGAGTTGAAACTGGTGTCCTATCTATCTTTGAGGCTGGTGTTCCAGGTGTTTTCACAGTCATCTTCTAAACAAGTCAGAGTAAACACAAAATTCATCAACAATATCGACATATTAGCATAACAACATCAATAATTAAGCATTTCCTGCTTCTTATTATGTGATCCAACTTGATACGTAAGATCATTGATTCCCAACCCGACATGAACTTCGCCCAAATTAAACATCAAACAGTGAATTTCAACTTTTATAAATATAAAAAAATTGCAGATTCTGTGGTTTTTCTATATTAAAATTAAAATTGAAAGAGAGATCTGATAGATTCAACATATTCAAATATCAACAGTTAACAAATTATTGAGGAAAATTTAAAAAAAAAACACAATTACAGTGTTAAGATGCTAAAATCAACAAAAAAGGAAACAAATTATCACGATGATTATTACTTTCAACTACGACGCTGAATTTAACCAATAAACTAAAGAAAAGAATAAAATAGGAAAGTAAATTGATGTTTACATGAAAAATTAGCATAAATAGTAACTTCACCGATAGATTTCATAGATCGGAAAGTTCGAAAAGGAAATTGAAATAGAAACTCACATTAATCTGAGGAAGATTTCAATTCAACAAGATGAGTATGTAGAATTGATTAAACTCTGAAAGCGCGCACGAAGATAGCGGAGAAGCTAGAAATTAGGGTTGCGATTTGTACAGTAATTGCTCACTTTCTCTCTCTTTTTTCTCTCTCTAGTTCTTTGTGTAGTGATTATGGTTATTGAAATGGAACTGGTTTGTGTGTGCTACTACGCTTCCATTTTCATTTGAATTTGGTGAAACTCTAACGGCTAGTTTCTCTTTTTTGTTTTTTTCTTCAGTTTCTTGAATTATTATTTACTTTATTACTACAAATTTTAATTAATTGAGGAATATAAATATATAAATATTTGTTTAATTCAGTTATGCTTTCAACTAACGTTATTATACAGGTAAGATGTAGAAGGACCCGGGTTTCGAGATTCTTAACGTTTTTTGTGTTGGTTTGTGTTTTTGTTACAGCTGTTTTTTTCTTTCAATAAGTGAAGACAAAAAGGAAAAAGTGTTTTTCTTTGTGAAATTTAAACTCATCTTTATCTTGCGTTTTTTTTTTTGGTATGGTCTATCAAACAACAAATTTCATGCTTCTATATAAAAAAAAAGTACAAAGTTTGTCTTTTATTGAAGTAAATGAAACTCATAACATCATCACAAAAAGTTGTCTAGAAGTAATTTGGACATGTGTACACATAAAAAAATATGAATAAATTCATTTATATCTAAAACATTCACATTCATACCACTCAATTTAAACATATAAATATATCTTCACTTAATATATTATATTATTATATTTTCAATTATTTAAATAACTCATTTATATTTTTTAAATATTCATATAAAATATCTAAAACTTTAAAATTGATGTCACTATTCATATAATATATATATATATATATATATATATATATATATATATATGATACAAATGCATAAATATTAATATTTAATATTTTAATATAAAACAACTTAATTAAGAGTGGTAAAAGAAAGACACAGTGATATTTTATTGCAATTCTATCAACATGCAAATATCCATAACACTACAACGCAATTGTATTGGTTAATGTGAAATTATTTTCAAAAACATTTGATATGGATGCTTTTGTGTTATACAATTCTCTTCTCTTTATTAAAATATATGATCTTACCGATTAATCAGAACCTGTAAAGAGGTCGGCTGACGATTTTCTGTCGGGCTGAAAAGTTGAGGAGGAAAAATGGAGATTGTACTTGCAAAGCACTCCGACGATCAAGTAAGTATGAAAGCGAAGAGATACAAGCAAAGTGTTAGGATTTTAGTGGTGAATAATGAATATTTGATACCTGACCCTTACATGTGTGAGGGTATATATAGAGCCTCTGGCGCGTGGCCACCAGTTCTTATTTTTGGGCATAGATATGCAGATCCGTGATAATAGATAATTGCCAGGACTTGGTCATACCGAGCAGGTGTGCCCGTAACTAGCCGTTGGTTCCGGGGATGAGGTAGGTTACGGGCAGCGGACTGGTCGATTCCTGGTTGTCTAAGCGACTTGGTGTTGGGCAGACTAAGAGTTGCTCATTTGATCATAGTAGGTTGATGCTGATTCAGGAGGGAAAATGATTGATGGTGCTCGACGGTGGCGGGAAGCTTCGTGTCATGGTTGCGCGGGCCGCGTTAAAGCGAGAGACTAGACTGGGCCTACTATGGCTGTCAGGCCAGTCCAGAATAGTATACATTTTTCTTTTCTCTTATGTAAAATATTTTTTTTAATAGATACTTATATTAAACTATCTTTCTTTAGTGTGTTAAAATACATAATCTCCTCCCTAATTTCTCATTCTCACGAGGGATGCTCATCTTACGCTATATTTCCTCTTATTTTTTATCTAGTAGTGTTGCCAACATTTTCCCTATCCCGTAAAAGTGAATAAATATGATGTAGCGGGTTTGAACTCACACTCATTCATCCCCATACCCTTTGAAGGTGAACAAATTATACATTTACGAGGAAAAGACAAGTCGATATGATCCTACATCGAGAGGTTCATTAGAAGCAATAATAGTCAATGAAGCCAATAATGAGGGGGAAGAAGTACATGTTAAGTTTAAGAGTCCAAATGGGATCCACATTTGCAGAAAATATTGGAATCTGAGCCCCTAAAACCCTAAAAAATTTAGGAGAGCTTCATAGACAAGGGAAAGAGGAGTCGATAAGAAGAAGAAATAATGTAATTTATTCATCTTTTAGGGAAGGAGTGTACCTTTTTTCTAATTATTTTGCATAAGAGGGAATGAGATTGTATATTTTAAAACAAGAGGCGAGATTTGTGTAATATATGTATCTCTCATAGGAGATGATTGTAATATATTTTACACAAGAGGGGAAGATAATGTGTATTTAAGCACAACATAATAGGGTAATGTAATATGATTATCTCTTGGAGGAGGGGTGTAATTTACTCAAAAAATTATTTGTTCAACTGTAGCCAAAACATCTAATAGTTGTTAGGATTTTGGGAAGCAAATGTTGTACCCCAATTTTTGCCCCTAAGATTCTTCTATCATCTCATATCAACCCAATCACAACAAGATCACACTAGGGTTTGAATCTTCTCCCTATCTTTAGGTTTGCTCATAAGGAATCACCAAGCACCTTGATTTGTATATTGTGATCATATTTGTTTTGTATTGATTAACTTTTAAACTAAAAAATGCAATGAATGTTTGCTCTAGTTGATAACACTATAGGTGAGGGCACAACATATTTCATCAGGTTGATTTATAGGTTCATGAGTTTATTTCCATGCCTTCTTCAACAAAGCTTCATTGAGATTCAAGCTTCATCATTGAATATGCTTTAAATTAATATCATGACAAAGTCTACTATGATTCATCATGCCTCAATTTGTCAAAGAAAGTCAAAAGATGTAAGAGTTGATTGAAGAAGTTTAACCTAATTGGACAAGTTCTTAATTTCTTGATCGCAAGTGCATAACTCTGTCAATTCTTAAATTTTGGAAGTGGTTTATTGTTTCTGTTCTGGATTGGCCCGAAAGCTTGAGTGGGTCCAGTCTAAGACATCTCACAGGTACCACCCACTGACTGTGACCCGGACTGCCCGCACCTGTCGGGCAATATCACCCTCTTGACCTTTTGGTCCAGCTCCGATCCAAGATGCCCATGAAACGTCTTCTCGGCCTGCCCGACACCAGTGTCGCGCAGGCCACCAGGGACCGACCAGAGAGATACTCGCAACCAGCCTCCTCCTCAACCAACAGCTAGTTACGAGCATATTTGCCCGGCTTGACCAAGTCCTGGAAGCTACCTGATTTTTCGGACCCGCATATCTAGGCGGGAAATCAGGAACCAATGGCCACGTGCTAGGGGCATTATATAAACCCTCACACCTGTGAGGGCCAGGTATCACATTTTCACTACTCACTACCTGATATTTTACTAGTACCTTCTTTCTTCCACTCTTACTTGATCGTTGGAGTACCTTGCAGGTACAACCCCCTTTCTCCTGAGCCTGACTGAAGATCATCCTCCGACCACTCTCCAGGTTCTGATCAACCGTAAGATCAGTGGCGCCATCTGTGGGAAATTTCTATCCCCATCTTTCTTCCCTCAGAACCTAAGATCAAAGAAACTTTTCTTTCAAGATCCATCTCTATTTTCATGGTCGACCATAATGATATTTACCTGCCCGGAAAGACCATCCTTTCCCCTGCTCGTAAGACTGATGGAAGCCAGGAACACCCACGCCTTGAGGACAGCCTAGGCTTCCATGACGGACAAACTGCGTCCCATGATTTTGCTGATGCTCAACGAGGTGATGACCAACTCTTGGACGAAGAACGTTCCAAGAATCCTGCTGAGAAACTGCCAGAAATCTTGCAACTGGTTTCTATCCCTCTCAACACCGACCTGGCCATGGCAGCACTGCTGCCTTGAATTAGACCAACGCCCTCATCCTTTAACAAAATCAGAGGATAGGGGCCTTGGAGAACAGGCGTTCAAGATCTCCTCCTCGGAGAGCCCGAAGACGAAATTTCCCCAGTGCATCACCACCCAGGCGTGGTTCACCGCCCAAAAAGGAAAGGGGCGACATTTCTTTCTTCAATAAATGCAATCACATACCTCTTTCCCGAGATTAAGCCTCTCATTCGTTCAAGAAGAGGAGGGACAATAGGAAGATCGACCGTGCTCGATTGCCCTCTCCCGATCCAAAGCAGAAACGAAAGAGCCTCTCCCCTTGATGGGACCGTGACAATCGATGGGGGAGAAACTATCACTCTCCTTCTCCATCTCCCGTCAATAGTGAAGATGAAGAGCCTCATGGCCCACTATCGAGGGAGATCACTGAAGCTCCGCTCCCTATAAACCTAGAGAAGCTGCCCACTCTAGGGACCTATGATGGCACGACAGATCCTGACGAGCACATTGAGAACATCGATGCCCTCATCAATTACAAAGGGGTT